TAACAACGCGGTTCTTTACAGAATGGTGACAGTTCCATGATACGCCTTGGGTGTCCTCAGCTTCTCAAGCATGCAGTTAACAAGTTGGTTCTAGATGAGAAGGAATACTGCATTGGTTACTGTTGGCCCCATGTGAAGACTTGTGCTATGAGGGGTCTCCCTGGTATGTGGCTGTGTCATGGGTATATTCAGGAACTCTAAGCTAGTCATTCTTGAAGTTTGTTGTACAGTATGACAGCCATCCAGATGGCCTATCATTCCTTTATCATGTAATAAGGGGGCAGTTACCTCTTCCTATTCCATGGTATCATGCTTTTTTCTTCTTTTATTGTCTGTGGAGTTTTTGCTTTATAATTCAAGGAAACTGCCTAAAATGGTCAAATACGTAACACTTCCAATGCGTAAGATAAGCAGCTTTTCCCCAAACACCGGAAGGAAAATCCCAAGTAGAACATTCTGGGGCATTAGTTTTTTATCAAAGGAAGAAAAGAAGACATCTGATCTATTATTTGGCCTCATTTTTGGATGCTGATGTTCACTCCCTATAGGGACTCTGATTTGATCAAAGAGCAGTGTATGACAGAGCAGCAGAGTAGTACGTTTGTTGAATTTATGTAGATAAAAGGTCTTATTTTGTAGTTCTGATGTCTCAGTAAACATTTTATGGCACTTAAGAAAGTATTAAGAATGAACAATCTACATATTTTTATTCAGTACGTTGATGTGAATTTGGGAACTAAATATCTGCAGATGCCTCTGTGTTTGTTTCCATGTTCTTTGATATAATTTGAATTTCTTTTCGAATTATTGCTGAGTTGAGCTTTGTGACAATCCATGACCTGTTTGTATATGTACTTTGATCATCTTATGAGGAATGGATTCTTGTGTTTGCAACAAGTTCACATCTGATCCCTCTTTCTCCCACTTTTACTCTAGCTTGGTGGAGTTAGAAAGCAGGTAGATGGGATTCATCCCCACATGGTGTGCAGAAGCTCCTCAAACCTGGTTTTGATGGGTGCATAAACAGCAAACATTCCTTGTCCACTGTATTTGCTTGAGTGTTATGAGTGAGAGCAGATCTAAATACCATCTTCAAACTTGACTGTGTGTGGTACTGACATTTCTTTTTTCCATCTGGTCTAAAAGGGAAACTGCACACAATGGCAGCCCCACCCTTTTGTCCTCCTGCTTTCCCATTTCTTGTCTGCATGATACGGTGCTAAAATAATTGCCAGTGCTTTTTATCTTTTCTTGTCAAAGTTGTCCTCTTTTTGCCATCTGTTCCCCAGCCCTTATAGCCAACCTAAGCCTGCACTTCTTGTTATCTGGGATCACTTACAGTGTGATCAGCACACTGTAGCAAAGACCATTTCTTCAGTTTTAGCCAAAAGTATAAATAAATCAAATCCTGGAAATGAAAGCAGAGCTCCTTCATTTGCTGGAATAAAGACTTTTGTTAGTGTGGTTTCCTACAGAGGGGAGGCTTACAGGATTCAGTCATTTGTCCATCTGCTTTTCAGTTCATCCTTAATAACTTCTGAACCATTTCATCCAGATTTGACAGGGAGTAAAAGTCTTGAAGGTAATTCATTTCCTACAAGAAAACTGGTGGCTGGGTAGGGGAGAGAGACAAAAATAGGTGTCCCCACTGTCTGCAGCATAGCTTAGCAGTAATCTGTTCTTAGGCTTTTGCTAGCCAAGTTGCAAGTGTGTACTGGCTGTGGTACTACACTAATCTCAGAGTTTCCAGAGCACTTTACTGAGTCTTAGGCAGAAGGTAAGGGGCCACAGAGAGGAGACAGGGGCAGGGGATGTTGCTGGGCAATTGGAAATACTATGGAAAGGATGAAATCAATGGAAATTGGGGCTCTTGGAGCTATCAGTCATTTAGATTTCATACAATACTGTAGTTTATTGATCACTAGCCCCTCAGAGGTTTGTCTGTCAAGGGTGCATCTGCACTGTTTGCCTAGCTGTGAAATAATCAAAATGTAGGAAAATACTGGCGTGGTCCTCAAAAGATCTCTCAATCAGAAGTGGCAAATGTTTCATTTGCTCAAAATGCTGTTTTGAGCCAGAAAGAACAATCTGTGAGTTTAGATGGAATTAAGTCAATAGTTACTGCTGGAAAAAAAAAAAAAAAGTAAAAGAATGCTGGAAAATACATTCCCATACCAAAATATTAAACTTTTCCAGGCCCAAAGCATTAGTTGAGTGAGCACTTTTAACGAAATCCGGATTGAAAATGGTAGGAGGATGATTCCTGTACGGGAGGTATGTATTTGGGATATAGGATTTGCAGCACTGCAGGAATTTGAATTTGTGTAACCAAAATCGCAGTGTGCATCACTTGCAAAATCCTTTCCTATTTCTTCCATTTGATACAAGTTGTGAGTTTTGCAGGCATCTTTCTTTATCATGCACGTGTTTGGTAAAATATTCATGTGCCTGTGGTGACTGCAGGAAGGGGAAGGAAGCACCACCTGGAATTATTCATCCTTTGTTTCTGTTCTTCGTTGGGTTCTTTTATCCTGCGCAGGAGCAGAGATCCTGAGCATACTTTCAGCCATGAGTCAGTAACAACCCCTTGCTATTATTGTAAATAGCAACATGAACGCTGCTTTTGCATGCATTTTTTCACAGACTTTGTCTTTCTTTCCCAGCGCTTCAGCCAAGGGATTTGCAGAGCTTCTGAGTCAGCAATCAGCTGCCTCGAGACAAAACATGCAGGATGCTGCAGACTTGCAGCAGGGCCAGCAAGGCACACAAATACCCTGGAAATGTGGCAAATAATTCCTGCCTGCCCTTGCTTTGCCTCCTGTAATTTCCGTGCTCTCTGACATGTTGCTCACAGGTTCTGAGGGCTTTGGGTGTATACACCAAGAATGCAGAGTTTTGAGGAGTGACTAATTACAGTGACTGAAGCCTCTGTATTTGACCTGTGGGCATAACTTACCTAACAGCCAGTGTGAGATGGGATGTAAGCAGAACAGCAAAATTAATGTGCTGCTCTGGTTGTGCTTCACAAAGTGACCTGCTTTTGCAGGTCTCTCCTGACTTGGCCAGCCTTGAACACAAAGCACTGAGTTCCTGTGGTGACAGAAGGCTGGGTTTTAATTCACAGATCTCTCTGCCCAGTGCAGAATCAGTGTCACTTTGCTCCTTTTTTGAAAATACTACAGGATTCAATACAACACAACAGAAGGAAGAGCAGGAAATGAGACTCAGGCTGTCCTTGCATCTGGGTGTATCAGTAATGGTCTGTGGACCAACCGGCTTAAATTGCCACTCAGCTGCATTTAGGCTGTGTAGTTTCTGAGGGTTATTCTTAAGAAGTGCTGTATCAATCATCTGAAGTGCTGCTGTAGAGGTTTTGGGTGGTAGAGTGTCAGGGGTGGGGGAAATGAGCAGAATACTTGAAGAACTGTGCTGGTAAATGTGGTGTATGGATTTAGACTGCAAGTATTTTATTTCCTCTCCGTTATCAGATGCACTGAAATTGCTGCTTCAACGTAAGAGGAGATTTTTTTAGGGCTCTTTATAGCATTCTTGGGAACAGGAGGTGCAGGCTTAAAGCACCAAAGCATGGTGGTCCCCCTTAGGTGCAAGCCTGAAGCGCACTTGGTAGTGAAGTTAAGATTAAAAGTAAGGAAGGAAGTTAATTCTGTACTGCTTAGTGAGCAGTACTGCATGGACAACATCAATGTCCATCAGCTATGTAGAAAAACATCCTTGTCTGTGCTTGAGTCCTCTAAGGCAGCTGTCCTAATAAAGTCAGAAATACACTGAGTGGTATAACTTGTCGTTATGCTGTGGCTTCTGCAGGAACTTTGAATTTTATTTCTAATACCAAACAATTTAGGGATGTATGTAAGGGTTTCTGGGTCTCTTTTGCTATTTGTAAATGTAAGCAATAGATGCCATGCTTGGCTGGGAAGCAGGAGTGCCCACATAAACTGCTGTAGGGCTGTCCTGGCGGAGGGGAAGAGAGACATGAGCTGTAATGTTTGCCTTGGCTTCCTGTCTGCTGGAAGCGGGAAAAGAGCTGGTGAGAATCTAAAAGCTTTTATCCGAGTCCACATACTTCCTTTTTTACCTTAATGCCCTTTGCTAAAAAAACAAAGGAAAATGTACCTCAAAACTGTTTTCCTTTCCACAGTTCCAGCATATGTTCCCATGCTACCGTCCTACCTGAAGATAAACAGAAATATTCTTTATTAGTGTAATTGTTTATACCTTGTTTGTATGTACGCGTTCATATGTGTATGTGTGTAAAAGAAAGATTGATTATATATATATAAAGTGGAATAGCTTTTCTTTAAAGAAAATTGTTGTTTGTATTCTAAACAATTCTGTACTTCTGTGGGATCCCAGGAATGCAACTAAGAGTAGCAGACTTCTTGTCAGCGTATTTCATCTGCCAAGGATCCCAGCTACCACCTGAAATGTGGGGATGTGCATATCAAACAGTGTTGAAAACCACAGAGGAAGCAGCCTGAGAACCCCACACGGATAGTACTACAGCCCCATTTCTCTCCTGGGCTACTTGCTTACTGATACAGGAAATGTCCCCATGGGCTCTAGGTGAAGAGATATTTATATTGCTTGATGCAGCACAGGCCGGCATTTTTTTCCAGTCTTGACATCTTAAGCATTTGATTGCTCTAAAGTTTAACCTCATTCTAGTACTGCAGTACCATCATCGTTTTTGTTATGGCAGGGCACAGAGGCAGGCCTTCAAACTCACAGGTTGTATGGCTCAGGTAAACTATTTTGTGCTCTGATAGAAAAGACGTGTCCCAGTGTCTGAAGACAGGCTGTGCTTCAGTCAGCTCAGCAGGACTGCCTGGGGTATTGCTTAGTTAACTTATTTAGGACTGATGCTTGCTTTATTCGTTACTGAGAATCTGGACTTCAGCTCAGACACAGAGATAATTTTGGAAATTAAAAAAAAAAGAGCAAACTCAGTTACATTTTTTTTTTTTCTTTTTATTTTATAGGTTAATAATGCTTGTAAGCCAGAGGTGAAAGTGGCTCAACAGAGCAACACTGGGAAATCTGGCAGACTGGAAGAGAACAGCTGCCCTGCAGGGCAGCTGCCGAGCGTGAAGCATGGAGGAGAGTAAGAACGAGAAGGTGAACCAGGCTCACGTTCTCTTCGACAGATTTGTCCAGGCTTCAACGTGCAAAGGGACTCTCAAGGCTTTCCAGGAGCTCTGTGACTACCTAGAACTAAAGCCCAAGGACTACCGTTCTTTCTATCACAAACTCAAGTCCAAGCTAAATTACTGGAAAGCCAAAGCCTTGTGGGCCAAATTGGATAAAAGGGGCAGCCATAAGGACTATAAGAAGGGGAAAGCATGCGCCAACACGAAGGTAAGGAAAGTGATCCTATGTAAGAGACTTATTTGTGGGAATAAAAAAGTATAAAAATAAAAATCAACCCACTAAAATACAAATGCTGTGGAAACTCATACCAGTTCATTTAAAAGGATTGATATGTATGGTATTTACTGCTTTCACTCACCTTCTCCATTGTATTTTACGTGTCTTCTTGTGAACTGATATCTGTGTGCTACGTATGCCCTGGTTGAACTCTGCAGTATGAGCTTTATTTTTTTATTTATTCTGTTACTGAAATACATTTATGTCATTCATCAAAATGTTTATGGAATAAGTTATTTTCTCAAGTGATCATATAGTTTTCCTTTCAAAAAATAAAGAAAGATAGTATGGATTATGAGAAAATTAGAACAAGATTCTCCCCTCCTTCATTTAGGACAATAGGTGCTTCTCTTTCCCTTGTACATTAACCTTTCTGCAGAAAGAAGTAATACGAAGAATTAAATACTAGTTCCTATAGAAGAGAACTGAGAGGGAAATATATCCTATTTGGGATATAATGGGTCATTTCAGATATATGGACTCAGGTTTACTTTCAGCTAGATATTAGAAAGTTATGTTATTTTGTTGATTGTTTCACTTTCTACTTGCAATTTTTTGTATAGATAGTGACATTTATAAGTAATTGCTACAATAACACCTGTAATAATTACTCAATGTCAAGGTGCATTGTTCTATGTCTTGTGAAAATAATGCTTTCCTCAAAATGTTCATAATTGTTACATCCAATTGTAGATAACAGGTGGGATGCAGATCAACTATGAAACAGTAAGGCAGATAAGTAGTGTTGGTCAATGGAACTCACGCTGAACTGGGTCCTACCAAAGGAAGGAATGGGCATATTGCATATCAGCTCTCTTATGTGTGGCAAGGAGGGAGAGTGAAGGGAAAGAAGAAGAGGAGGGAAATCTTATTTGCCGGTGTTACTGAGAAGCTGCTGGTGAGATGCTCTTTTGAAATGCAACTAAAAAGGGTGGATAAGTTAAATAAATTCCACGCTTACCCATGTCCCAAGCCAGGAACATGCAGTACTGTTGATTTGAGATTTGAGTCATTTTGAGTATTGAAATCAGCCAGCTGAGGGGAAAGGAAATTGTTTCAAAAATTATTTTTTGTTAGTACATCTTAAAGAATACATACTTGTTATGATAAACGATTTTTGTATGCCACTAATTACAAACCTTGTTGCTTTTTTATGTGAAGAAATGATATTCAAGTGTATTTTTTTATATTTTTCATATATTTCTGTTGATTACTTGCTTCTGACCCTAACAGCTTCTGCCAATAAATTTGTAATTCGTAGGAGGTAAACACAATTATTCAAAGTGGAGGCCTTTTGAGAACTGATTCATTTCTGATTTGATGTTTCCCATCTCACTTAGTTTTATATTCCTTATTTTTAATGTAATTTGCAAACACTGATTTAAACAAAAAATACAACACAGAAATTAAGGTGGGTGTGTGGAAATGACAATTTAAAACAAAGATCAAAATTCTACCCATATTCTTAAAACTGCTGTCAGTCATTTCTTTAGTAAAGTCAGCTTCTGTACTTGATCATATGAAGATCTCATTCTCTAGAGTTTAATTGCTGCTTTTCTATTTAAAGTCGTGCTGGGCTGAAGTGTCCCAGCCAGAACAGATACTTGGTGCACGTGGCCAGTGTCCAGGTTAACTGGAATTCAGATGGTTGGGGGTATAGTTCATGAAAGCAAGACTTGGATGTGATGATTTGTCCAAATGTAAATAGTTACCGAAAATTTATATTAGCCCCTTTATTTATTTAGCTTGAGCAGCTCAAAAGAGAACAGAAGGGTAATTCTCCACTTGAGAACTGGAGAACTCAGGATTTGTTTGCATTTAATGTTACATTACCGTGGTGTTGTTATTGGAAACTGAATATAACTTAGATCTTGAGCAAGAAATGATAGTGAGGAGTGAGATTGCTTCAGTGCACAGAGCTGTAGCAGTTGCTTGGAGTCACTGTGGAGCAAAGGAAGAAGGGACGACAGTTACTTGGCTATGATTAAGGTTTCATGCTTATCGCCGCCCATGCAAATATCACAACTTAGGTTTCTACAAGAGATCTGAAACTGGAAGAGTCAGTAAGGGTAAAAAAGGGGACAGAGTCTTTTCTTCTGTTTTTAATTGTGCTGAAAGCTTGCTGTGTTTTATAGCAACACCACTTAATATTTTTGTAGAGGTAAAAAAAGGTGGCAACCTTTGTTGTGAATTGCTTTGCTGTGTATTGTATTTTAGATCCAGAACATGTAAAGCTCTAGATAAATTACCTATTTAAATAGGACACACTCGGCTCATTCTCTTACAAGGTTAAAAAAATGAAAGACTAAGTGGTGTTTGAGTTACACTTAACCACAAAGAAAACAATATTGAATTGGAAGAATGCAGTAGTTCCTAATTGATTATCGCTTTTTTAACAAATTACAACTTGGACACCTGTTCAGAATGTAAGTCTGGTTTTTAATTGCACTGCTAATACCTCAGTGGTCGGGCTAGCATTTTGTATTTATGCCCTCAAGTTCCCAAAGCTACTAAATAAACTGCTGTTATCCTTCCCTTTTCTCTGGACTTGTATCTCTGCCCTCAGATTTGTATGCGTTGTTATCTTATACAGTAGCCTTGTTTAGCATTTGCATGTTAGTTGTTAACTCTTTACTGTTGCAAACTGTACTCTTTTATTTATCATTCAGGCTTTGTATTTGCATTTTCACATCATTTGAAGAATCTGTAACCCAGTGAACAGCAAGTTTAAAATGTGGGGAACTGTACAAACTGGCTTATGGGGACTATCAGAGAACAAAGAGCTTTGTTTTGGGATAGGCTGTGTAATCAGAAGGGTAGGTTCTGATGAAGTTTTAGCATACTTAAGAATTTCTTAAAGAGCTTTGTTTTCCAGCTGTAAGGGTACTCAGGGATCTGGAAAATATTCACGTGGCAGAAATAAATCACCACGTTGGTGAGTCTTTATCCAGTGTGTCTGGTTCATAGAAAAACAGTGCAAAATTGATATGACAAAATGGACTATGCACTGTATTAATGTGAATACACACATACAGGCCAGCTTTCTCTGTGGACTTCAGTTTCTGTGGGCAGTTGAGTATCTTGGATTTTTATTCTTGAAATAAAATATCTTGCTGTGTTCCTTTGTTTCTTCAGAAGTACTTCCAGCACTGGATATGCAAGTGTTTCTCAAGTCATTTATTAGCCTCTAAAAGTGTTTGTGAATAGAGTGGAGAAAGATGGAGGAAGATGACATACCTTTGATATGAAAAAGGTTAAAGTGAAGAAAACGTATTTTGATAAAAAAAAAAAAAGGTCTAATTACACGAAATTCAGTTTTACATTGTATTTACTTACCTTGGAGGTGGCTTTGCTTCAATACTAGAAACATCAGCGTGGGTATAAGTCAGAGTGCTGTCTCTGCTAATCTAAATGATCATGTGTGTAAAAACTTTGCATTTATCTGCCTGAACCATTGCTGTGCTGCTCAGTGTTGATGAGGAATTTCCAGCGCTCCTGAAGATTTTCTGGAAAAGGCTAACTCAGGCTGTGGGAGATGAGAAGAAAAGGCTACTTCACCTTTTCTTAAAAACAGAAAAGACGTGGTTGGAACTGGAGAGAGAAACCTTCAGAAATATTGCTGCTTTCCAGGTGCTTATATAGCTTGGAAGGCATTATGCTGTGGTCTTAATCTTAATCCCTTAAAAGAAGGGTTGAAAATAGCCTTTTCCTCTTTGAATCGTACAGTTACTTTGTGTTTGGTTCTTTTGCAGTGTCTGATAATTGGGGCTGGACCCTGTGGCCTTCGTACAGCCATCGACCTGTCATTCCTGGGAGCCAAGGTGGTGGTCATAGAAAAGAGGGATGCCTTTTCCCGCAATAACGTTCTGCATTTGTGGCCATTCACCATACATGACCTGAGGGGTCTTGGCGCCAAGAAGTTTTATGGCAAATTCTGTGCAGGATCCATAGACCATATCAGTAAGTACAGCTGCTGCTTGTCATGGCAGCACTTGTTGAAAAGGGTGAGGTGGCTGAGGCATGGAGCATCTCATGAAAATGCATCCTGTACCTGTCACTCCTCTTGTGTCAGCATGGTATGATACGAAAGAAATAGATTGTGCCATGGCATGATCAAACATGTAATATATATCTTTTAGAGTACCTGTTATCTTTTATATCTTCTGCTTTCTGAGGGCAAAAATTGCCATTTTTCAATTTATTTTTTTCCCCAAAAAAACTTTCCAAGCACGGTAGTGCCCATCAGTCTGTGTTCACCTCAGGGCGTAAATGGAAGTATAAATTGGCACAATCATAGTAGATAAGACTTAACTTCTTGTTCAATGTGAAAGCTGCTCTTTTTTGAGGAAAAATGACTGGTAGAAACAGGCCCTTATCACTTCAGTCTTGCAACTTGTTCTCTTCTGTTTTCCCTTTATTTTTATTCTTCCAATACTTTATATTGTCTTCTTTTGTGTCTCAGCACAGTTGAAATGTAGTTTCTAGGTGGAGTATTTCTTCATTTCAATATCTGAAATATGACAATGAGGTTTCCTCCTTAAAATTAGTATTATTCCCTCAGATTTGCACACAGTCGCTTTCGTACCTGTTACCTACACTGACTTAAGTGGAAAGAGGTGATGAGTAACTTAATATTCCCTCCCTAACCCAATGGTGTTAGCATTAAGGTACATCTCAGTATTACAAGGTGATCAAATGGCTGGTTATCATCTGTAACAGAAAGACAGTCCTGCTTGTGCTCTCTTCCCTTCCTCTCCAGCAGTGCATATTCTAGTTGTTTCCCTTGTTGCTGATTTTGAGACTGAAACATTAAAAAAGTATTTACCTTCTTTGAGAAGGGCTGCAGTTTCTGCTATATGGGAGTTTCTTATGCCGTGTTATTACCCACCAGTGCTGCCTGGATGAAGTGCTGAGAACACAGTGGGAAGAAGAAAGCAACAACTAGCCTTTAAATCAATTTATTAGTAATGTCAAAGGGAGGTGTGTGTACTTGTGCTCTTTCCTTTTTCTGCTATTTTTTTTGTCACTGTTTTTTTTCAGGTATCCGTCAACTCCAGCTTATCCTTTTGAAGGTTGCCTTGATCTTGGGAATAGAAATCCATGTCAATGTGGAATTTCAAGGGCTTGTTTACCCTCCGGAGGATCAGGAAAATGAAAGCAAGTAGTGTTGAAATGGGTTGTAGAGAAAGGGGAAGTTATGGTCAGATACATAGACTCTTGCTCCTTAATGTTATGACTCCTCCTTTTCTCATGTTCCATTAATGGCAGTTATCTTCAACGGACTTTTGCTTGACTTCTTTATAAGCTTACTTCTTTCTAGTAAAATCACCTGAAGTACTTAGCAAAAATAATCCAAGACACAGTAGTTCCTAATGTCTCCTAACGTATTTAAGCCTGTTTATTACAATTAAGAAATACCTTTTTAAAACAACTCCTTTATTTGTGTTTACTGAGGATATTTATACCAGCAAATGGTCTTTGTTATGCTTTTTGCATCTTTGTGAAACCTCTTGTCTGATCGCTATGGGAAGTGGTGGCTTGCTTGTCTTTTGGCATCCTGTTAATTGAATACCTAATAAAGGTTTTAGTGTTCCTTGAAGATAATCAGGGAGGGTTTACTGGGGCTCTCTCTGTTTACTATAGCGCATTGTTTGATATGCATAGAGTGGTTATGAAAGTCAGCAGTAGCCCTGTCAGTAATATAGCTATCTTGTGGTATATCTTTACTGATTGTGTAAGAAAGGGTTTGTGGATAGCAGAAAGTGTTTTTATGTGTCTGTTCTACTATGTGCACTGTTTTACGTTGTCATTAATCTGGACTTTATTGACAGGAATAGGTTGGCGTGCATTGGTCCATCCAAAAACCCATCCAGTATCAGAGTATGAATTTGAAGTGATCATTGGAGGGGATGGCAGAAGGAACACTTTAGAAGGTAATGATGTGTCCATAATTCACTTTAAAATACAACTAATTCTTAAATTAGAATAGATACGAACAAAAGTGGCATTCAAAATCCCAATCAAAATCAAGACGTTTGACTAGGAAATAAAAAGTCCATGTAGAAATCTATGCATTTTTCCTCTTCCTATCCACTGGCACAAAAGTCTTCCCACAATTTTTCCTTAGTTGCATAGTGTTGCAACTCAATTTTGGGAATAGGAGCTGAAAGCATTAAATGTACAACTGTGTAGTAGAGAATTTTCTCTTACTATTTGTTATGCGAGTTGCAGTTTTAGGGAAAGAGATAAGAAAGAATGGGGATCCTTTTTCCTAAACAAGAACATTCATTTTTTCAGATGAAGCAATTTTTGCTTTTTCGGTGGAGTAGTTCATAATACATCAGGTCCAACCTCCTGTATTTTTGAGGGCACTGGTCTGGGGTGTGCTGAGCCTTCTCTGACGCTATGCTCTGTTTCTCAGTGTTGCTCCTTTATCTTTCCTGTAGGGTTTCGCCGAAAAGAGTTCCGTGGTAAACTAGCGATTGCTATCACAGCAAACTTCATCAATCGTAACACCACAGCTGAAGCCAAAGTAGAAGAGATCAGTGGTGTGGCTTTCATATTCAACCAGAAATTCTTCCAGGATCTACGAGAAGCCACCGGTATGTCGGCAATTGTCAGATTTCCAGTTAAAGCTATTTGTCCGTATTATTACAACTTCTCTAACTCAGGTATCACAATATTTAGTCAGTAAACAAAAGCCGTGTGCAAGGAAGACAGTCGTTTCGGTCTCTCTTTGAAATCTAACTTCCCTCATTTTTACAGCTGTTCTGTACGTCCGTACAAAGCAGATGTGTATCATTCAGATGTATGTCATTTTTGTTCAGAACTTCTTTCCCTAAGGATTTTCAGGAAATCTGAGCCATTCACAAGAGAAGCCTGAATCCTGAGTTTTGTTTCCTGCATTCCAGATCTGAATGCAAAACTTAGTGTGATGATAAATATGTTTTTCAAAAGAAATGCTCTGTTTCTGGTTTTGTCGAAGATACAGATTTTAAACTCAGTGAAAGAGTGGAAGGAGGCTGCCTGACATTCTCTCTTAAGATCTTCTAACCAGATAGTTTCAGTTTACTTTCTTTCAATAGAGCTGATTTGTTGCTTGTTCCTTCATTATCTTTTGTTCTGTCACTAGGTATTGACTTAGAGAACATCGTCTACTATAAGGATGATACACACTACTTTGTCATGACTGCCAAAAAACAGAGCTTGCTGGATAAAGGCGTAATACGACATGTGGGTATTAACTTTTATATCTTAAGATTTGGGGTGATTTTGCTTTCAATACACTGAAAGAACACTCTTCTTGCACCACATTATGTTATTATACAGGTATATTTTAGAACACAAACATTTGTGGTTAATACCCTTTGAGGCATTTTCAGCCATCAGAAGTGTTACAAGAATGTTACACCATCTGAACTTGTCAGTGTGGGGGTTTTGAGCATGCTAAGAAAGAGTATGCAGAAATAACTTTTGTTGGCTTATTTGGGCTTTTCATTTATATAATGAAAAGACAGAGTAAAGAATGTTTACCAGAGTCTAATTCTGACAGAAGCAAATGTAAAAGTGGTTTGTCTGTAAGTGAATGCAAAAAGATTGAGGTCTTGCTCCTTTTGTGTGAAGTGAAAAGCTCAGAAATTTCTTTGCCTTTTCACACTCAGAAATGCCAGTAGTATTTACAGATTTTTTTGTCCAACTTATACACATTGCTAGGAATGTAAGAATGAAAGGGCAGACCTTTATCAGTGGATTTGTATATAATTTCATGCCCACTTTTATATATATACAACCTTGTGGATTTGGCTGTCTCACTTGTACTCGTTTCTCTTTGTCAGGATTATGCTGATACGGAATTATTACTCTCACGGGAGAACGTGGACCAGGAAGCTTTGCTAAACTATGCCAGAGAAGCAGCTGACTTTTCCACTAATCAGCAGCTGCCATCACTGGACTTCGCCATCAACCACTACGGGCAGCCAGATGTGGCAATGTTTGACTTCACGTGCATGTATGCATCAGAGAATGCAGCGCTGGTGCGAGAGCAGAACGGCCACCAGTTACTTGTGGCGCTGGTTGGGGACAGTCTCTTGGAGGTTTGTCTTTTAGACTTATCGAAGATTGCACCTATCACTGAAATATGCGCTGCGTATAGGACAGTTATTATGAGGTGTGCTGCTGTTGATTGTGTAACAAAGTAAGAGATTTGTATGAAGAGTAGGAGTCCTGGGAAAACAGAATGTTTAGTATGGAAACAATCTTGCTTAAGAAAATATATGCAGAAATGTCTCTGAAATTATATCTGTTCCATGTGCTTCTTATTGAGGCAATTACACTCTGTATGGGAACCTACTCTAAGCCTGCTAATAATTAGCATTTTATAGTTGGTTAAAAAGTACAGTATTGAAAAGTAGCTTTTAAGGCACTCTAGACAATGAACTGTTGTTGGAAATAGAGGAGAGTTTGGCTATTGGAGTTCTCATGGACAATTCATGATGCATCTGGCTTCCTCTAGCCCAGTGGGAGTAGAGCTTTAAGCTAATTACTGAGCTAAAATTTCACAGCAGATTATTCCCTGACTATATTCTTGATACTAATTTAAAGCTTTCCCTAACTGGTGCTTTTTCTTTCTCGTCTCCTTTTTGTAAACTATAACATTAGCCATTTTGGCCAATGGGAACTGGAATAGCAAGAGGATTTTTAGCTGCAATGGACTCTGCTTGGATGGTACGAAGTTGGTCACTCGGAGCAAGTCCTTTGGAAGTTCTTGCAGAGAGGTAATAGAAAAAAATGCTTACATTTTGAGTTGTAATCTAATCCTCCAACATCTTGTCATTTATTCTAGTTCCTTCCAGTATAAATACATAGATAAAATATGAGATACAGATTCCCGCTGTTTTTAGAGGGTGCTTGTAGCTATAACTGAATTAAAGAAAAATATCCATAGCAGCTGATAAACTGAAGTATATTAATAGAAGAAAAATAAATGTTGCAGCTGTTCTTGGTCCTAGTGGTACAAAACTGACGAGGTGGAGAGTCTCTTCTTGGTGTTACTGGTAACATAGAGAAAGTGAGCCTAACTTACTGTCACAAGAATTGCAATAGTAAACCAGATGAAGGTGCTTTTAAAAGAGAAATAAAAAAAATTTCTCTCCCTTCTTATCTTGTAAATATCTTTTACAATTTTCTCTCAAAGAAGCTACGACCTGTTTTTTATTTCAGATAATTATTCACTTTGTTTCATGTGAGCCAAAGAATGTCTTGTCTTTTTTTCTTTCTTTGAGTATCATGTTCTTGATGTTTTTATCATCTTTTGGTGAGACTTGTTCAGGTGACATAAGGTCATTGCTTAGAATCAGACCTTGAGTGTTTAAAAAATGGAGTTTAAGCAATGTGTAAAAACCTACTTTAAACAACTGCAACTTATATTAGGAGCTGTAGCATAAATTTTTAAACTCCATGCTAAATATTTAATATTTTGCTTTTTTAATTTTGAGAAATGGTGAAATTAATCACGTTTCAGTTGTTGCCAGACATTATTAGACATTTGCAGAGAGCAATAAGATCCCTCCTCAGCCTTCTTTCCTTCACGCTGGCCAAATCCACTTTCCTTAGCCTCTCCCCACAGGCTGAGTACTCCAGTCCCCTTGGTAGGACTTCTTTCTGAGTCATTTTCAGAGTGTCAATGTTTTCCTGTGCTGGGGAACCTCTTTAGTTGTGGTCAGTGTATTATTCTTTCCTTCTGATTTTTGGAGTTGTATTATATTGCAAATTTAAATATACATATAAGAATTTTTAGCTATTGAAGTTTTTTCTCTTCAGAATTGATTTAGCAATATTAATAGTGTTGCATCTTTTCTATTTAAAAAAAACTCAACAAACACAAAATAAAAAGATTATTCTTCTTTTTCCAAGGGAAAGCATTTATAGACTACTGCCTCAGACCACCCCTGAGAATGTGAGTAAAAACTTCAGCCATTATAGCATTGATCCAGCCACTCGGTATCCCAATATCAACGTCAACTTCTTGCGACCACAGCAGGTAACTGGACAGAAGTGATGCTTCTGAATGTTTATGTTCTGCACTGTCTTTTCTTATGTGAAACTGTGCTAGTATTTTAGGGATAATGACCTGACTGTGGTGGTAGAACTTGGAAGCAGTGAAATGCAGAGTTGACCTCTTTATTAAATTCCTATTTTGTTCAGAGTTCTGAAGTCTTAAAAGTGTGCTTTTAATTCAGTTGTATTTTTGATTTTGCCTGCGTTTTCTAGTGCCAGTTTCTGATTGCAATCTTGTACCCACTGAGCAGCATCAGTCAGCTAGACTGTTCAGTACTGACAAGTTGTTCCTTGTTTGGGACTTCCTGGGCTAGAGATTTCTGTTACATAAAAATACTTTTGCCTTGGGATAGCTGCTGCTCATCCTGCTCTTTTCTGTATCCATTGGGTACGCAGTGTGTTGGTAACTTGTAATTTTCTGTATCATCTTAGGTACGCCACTTGTATAATACAGGAGATTTGAAAGACATACACCTGGAAATAGAGAATTTTGTGAACTCCAGGACACCAAAGCTGACTCGGAATGGTAGGCCTGGTTACTGCTCCATTCCTTTTGATATTCAGACGCCGCTTCAGTGCAGTGCACGTAGAGTAACAGGGCTGTGCTGTATTGTTTAGCCAGCTTCTTTTGGTTTAGATAAAGCAATTATTTTGTCAAAAATCTGATTTATTTTTTTTCTAGTCATTCAAGTTTCAATTAACGTGCAAATATACTTTTATTTGCCTAATTTCCCTCCTTTATAATCCTGTTAAAATTTTAGAGCATATTTCCTTATACAAGCATTTTCTTCATTTCTTTTATCCTATAAGAATATCCTTACTATAGTATATATACTATATTATAGTATATACTATACTATAATAGTATAGTATATAGTATATACTATACTATTCTATACTATAGAATTCACTCTAATCGTAAACCCAAAATTCTAATAAAAATAACAGAAGGTATGTCTATTACAGTCTTTCATGGTCATACTTTTCTTTAGTTAAGAAAAGCTCATCTCCTAGCTTAATTAAGTGAAACATCACTTTACTTGCATTATTCTATCCAGATGGTGTTTGGGGACTCCCTCAATAGTGCTTTGCTACTGAGCTTCCTTTCGCTGCTCAAAATCTACGTAGTCTTTGGATATGTTCTTTGGCCTGCAACCATATCCGTTTGGGCAGTAATCTTGTCAGGTCTTGCAGTAAGGCAAGGTCAAAATAGGTCAGTACTTCTAATGGAAAACTTTCAATAGAAAATAAAGAGTTGCAGAAGTACTTTTGCAGTTCTTCCATTAGAAACGCTGTATCTGGGCTTCAGAGAATATTGTACTGCTCTATAGTCTTTAGGTTGTGTTTAAAACAAGCCTTTGTGATTTTCTTTATAATTATTTGGGCTCATTTAGGGTGAATTGTATGTCAAGTTATAACTTTGGTAGATACTTTTTAGTGAATGACAAATCCTTTCTTGCATCTAAATTAGATGTAATAGTCTTTAAAAAAAAAAATACTACTGTTTAGTTGTGTCCCATGCTGCCCATTGTAGAAGGAGCTTATCCTTTGCATGAAAAGTTTTATTTGTTGATTTCTATTTTTAATGATGTAGTTACAATTCAGAGAAGAGATTTTGTGTATTTCTACTTAACAGCATGATTTCTTACAGAGTCTGTAGCTCGCTCTAGTAAATTGCTCAGTTGGTGCCAGAGGCAGACAGATGGGTATGCTGGTGTAAATGTGACAGATCTCACGATGTCATGGAAAAGTGGCTTAGCTTTGTGTGCCATTATCCACAGATACCGCCCAGACTTAATGTAAGTAATTTGCTCTTTTGAAGATTTGGGGAGAGCAGAACAGTAGTTTTATTTCAAACTAGTACTACTGAGACTGAGGCAATGCATTTGTGACTAATAAAGAAATGGATTGAAATGAATTCAATTAAGCCTGATGGAAGCTAATGTACAAGTGATTCACCAGTGGAGTGGAAGGTTGTAATAGCTTAATGAATATGAAGGTAAACATGTTGTCATTTTCCTTTATGGATGATTTGACAAAATGAAAGTTCAAATTGGTACAGACTAGAATGCTTTATTGTCAGAAAAACTCTTCTCTCTGTGGAATTAGTCAGGAACAGTTGATGGGCTCAGTAAAATTTCTAGTGAACAAGTCTCTACACAGGCCTTCATAATCTCCTTTTTGACAGTAACTCTTTTTAAAGTTGAGGCTGCCCCTTATAGAAGTAGTGACTCACTGTCTGAACAGAGAGGTTTTGCCTGTAAACTCTGTAGTGGGTAAAATAGCTACCCCATTCTAGAATGGGAGAGCACTGGCTGGCAGAGGTACCAGTAGATCCTTAAAAGGGAAAAAAAAATACTCTTTATTAAAAGAGTAACAAATAAAAAAAGAAAGTTTGAGAAAAGTTCATCAACCCTACAATACAAAATAATTTGTTGGCAAGTAAATTTGAGAGATTTAAAAAAAAACACCTGAATCCTTTCAGAAGACTGGTTTCCACTTGATTCATTGCACACCCTCTTCCTGCCTGTTGCAGAGACTTTGATTCTTTGGATGAACACAATGTGGAGAAGAATAACCAGCTGGCCTTTGACATTGCTGAAAAAGAGTTTGGAATATCTCCCATTATGACTGGAAAGGAAATGGCATCTGTCGGGGAACCAGATAAACTCTCCATGGTGATGTACCTCACGCAGTTCTATGAGATGTTCAAAGACACCATCCCTTCTAGTGGTAAGGAATTTGGTGCAGGTCTATGATCTTTAAAGACAGCTGCAGAATGAGTATGTCTTATTTTCATGCTTTTTCCACGTGAGCGTATAACTTGTTACTCGCTAACTGTATGTAACAAAAAGTTACCTTCTTATTGTTGGTATCGTTATTGCTGCTAACCATGTTAGCAATATCAGGAGCAAAACAAAGAATTAAACTAATTCAAACTAATGTCCTCGTAAGTTTAAGATCACTTCAGCGCTACTAGGCAACTTCTCTGCTTTCTTGCTGTTATTAGGGGTTCATCACTCTTCATTAATGTGAGATGCCTTGTTAGTAATTTTTTAGTAGGTAATTCCTAATTCTGGCCAAGGTTTATAGCTTTTATTTACCATCCATGAATGGTGAGAGCAACTCTAGACCAATGAGAGGCAGGAACGAAAGACAGATTATAACTGAAGAATGTAATTGCCTAACAGAAGCAAAAATTGTCCATCTCTAAGTCTTAATAATGCTGTAATTTTTTTGTTTGTTTGTTTTGTTGGTTGTGTTTTTTTTTTTGTTTGTTTTTTTTTTGTTTTTTTTTTTTTGTTATTGATGATCTTATAATTTCCTAAGATATTCAAGTATATAATTCTGGTGAAAAAAAGATGTGTTTAATAGCCTTTAAAAAATATAGTGTGTTATCGATTAGGAATTATTTCCAAAACTCTGAACTCATTCTGTTAATACTGATGACGATGATGCTCTTCAAATATGAAACTGAACAAACACAATATTCTGGGTCGTTACAAAACCTAGAGGGAGAATTGATTTTGGCAAAATGAAGAAAGCATTATGTTATGTATTTAATAACAGCACTTCAGAAATAATTTCTTGGCATTCCTTCTCCGACCTGTTCCTCCTTACAGATAGTGTGGATCTGAATGCAGAAGAAAAGGCCGCCCTGATTGCCAGTACCAAATCTCCAATCTCTTTTCTCAGTAAACTGGGACAAAGCATATCTCGGAAACGCACTCCAAAGGTAACCATGACAGAAATGAATATGTCTGTCTGTCTGCCATGTATTTTCCAAAAACCAGATGTTCATCAGCTCTTGACAATACATGACTTTTATAATTGCAGAATTACATTGGTAATGTGCATTCTCAGTTTGTGATATACTTCAGTCTTAAAATCTTGGCTTTTTGGAGGAATTTGGGGATATACTTCAATCAGGTAGACTTTCCACTATGAATGCTAGAAATCCCTAAGGAGGATAAAGGGAAAAACAAACAAACAAAAGCAAACAATCAGAAGCAGCAACAACAAACCCTTTCCTTAAACAGATGGAGAATGACCTTAGAGAATTAATTAGTTGTGTTGCAAAGCTTAAGCGCGCTGATGACATTTTCCTCAGGCTAGAAATATACAAGAGTCTTTATCCTTGTTTTCCTTCCTCTATTTTCAGGACAAAAAAGAAAAGGAATTGGATGGTGCAGGAAAGAGGAGGAAAACCAGCCAATCTGAGGATGTAAGTATTACAATGAGAAAGGTGTAAAGAAGAAAAATATATACGGTACATTCTTCATTCTCATTTAAATCCTTTTGTTTTCTATAACCAGGTAGGCCTTACTTGAGAATTTCTAAATTAAAATTCTTCTTCAAAGGTTATTCTCTGTTCTATTTGTAGGGAAAATACTTTATTGATGTTTATGAGAATACACTAGAAATGAAATGTGCATTTCCTTCATTTTCTATTTTTACTGCAGTTTACTTTGATTTGATGAGTGCACCAAGAATAAAACTTCGTTTAGTAAAGCCATTCAGGAATCGGAAGTTTCATTCATATTTGATCTGTAGTCTCAGTTAGTGCAAAATGCATACATATCCAGTATGCTTCACAAGGTAGTCCTTCAGATCAAGTGCTTATAGCCAAACAGGTATAAATGAGCTAAAATTGAATGCTTGGAATTGTCAATGAAGTTGTGATGATATCCATTTGTTTTATGTCAGTGCATTTACGAGGGTGTTTGGTGTCTTTGGTAGGTAAATGTATCAAGTAAGGTTGGAAAAATGAGAAAAGTTTATCAGAGCTTTTGATGGCATACCAAAGAAAATTAAAATGCGAGCTTTTAAATGCAGAGTGGCAGATTTGTTTTCTACAGCCTAGAAACCTAGTACAGCAAAGAGGAAGAGTGGAAAAGGTGATTGGGATGTACTTGTTAAATGTTGATCTCACTGACTGATAGGAGGACATTCCTCGAAGCTACAGAGAAGAAAGACCTACATTGGTGAGTGCCCTGACAGAGAGGAGAATTGATGCTGCCATTGGGAATCAGAACAAAGTCAAGTCCATGGCAACCCAGCTTCTGGCCAAGTTTGAGGAGAATGCACCGGTACAGTCCTCAACATTACGAAGACAGGTAGGAGATGGTCAATAAATCCTGGTATTTTGAAATCATGATAGAAAATCGTGAGTAATAACATGCATTCCTCAAGAATGGATGCTAGTGGTGCCCTTCTACTGCAAAGGCTCCCCTAGGGAGGAGTGAAGGTTACTCAGTAGAGAAAAAAATTAAATTTAGGAGTATGAGATAGTGAACTTCCTAATGAAAGTCCACTTTCTTGTTACTGCCAGTATGATGTTTTATAATCTCTTTCAAAAATATCTTACAAGTAATTAGGTTTTTTTTTATAACTGCTATTGCTCATGGAAAAGCTGTCCTGGAAAATCCCATTTCTAACCTTTAAGAATTCTAATTTAGTTTCTAATTTGAAGATTTTCATTATCAGGTTGTGTGTTTATGCTTGTGAACTGTGATTAAGTTTTCTACCTGTACATAAGCATAGCAGGTAAATACCTGGGAGGTTCTTCACAATCAGAATATTTATATCAATTCAAATGAGGCTTTCTGACGACTGCTGGTTATTCAGTACAGTATCTAAACTACTGCAACTGCAAGATAGTCATATCTGAAGTTATGTTGAGTCACTTCAAGACACTGCTAGCAGTGCAGTGTCAGCAGTATAAGGCTCAGTATGGCTTAAATGCCTGAGTTCTTGCTCTAATGGTTACTTCATCTTAATAGCTTGTGTCAAACTCTGAGCTGCTGTGGCCAGATTGTGAATGGGATCTTATCTAACTACTTTAAGTTGAATTTATGTATACATATGCTACATTGCATACCACTGTTAGTAGCACAGCATAATCTCAAAATGGTGACATTTATCCTATTGTTTACCAGTAAAATGTTTCCTTAGCCACTGCATGCTGTCTTGAATAACCAGGCTGAATTGAAGAAAAAATGAAAACAAAGGGACAAAGGGCAGGTCCAAAAAATGTGCATTTCCCCCTCCTTTTTTTTTTTTTTTTTTTTTTTTTTTTTTTTTTAAATGTCTTCTCCCTTTTCATATATGACTTGCTAAATGAATTCTCCCCTACCCTCTTTTTTTTTTTTCTTAAATGTTTGTCTGTCTGATTGTATCTCCCATTTCTTTGGCTTTCTTCAAATTTTTGTTGCTGTTGTATCATTCCCCCTTGCTCCCAACCCACTTGCCCTGCAACCTGCATGCAGCAACCTGTCCTGCCTTATCAAGAACGCGTTCACAATCAACCATCCAGCAGACGAGAGCAGGGCCGTCTAGCTCCTATACCCCAGTGGAAACAGGTAAAGAAATTGATTGAATATGATCTGTTGCCTGCACCCAATGCCAGCTCTCACTGTCCTTTTTTTAAACCAATCCTTTTCCAGCAAAACCAATCTTTATAATGCCAGTCTCTTATTTTTAACAGTTTAATTTATTATGAATAAAATCAAAGCCTGCCTGTTATGCTTGTTGTAGCTTTCTAGGGCTTCAGTGGTTGTTTCATAAGAAACTTTGCCTGCAGATGCAGATGTTGTATTGTCTGAGACACTTCTTTATTATTCTTGTGGAAAATAATAGAGAGTATGTAGGCAGTTATTGCAGCCAGCGAGATTACAAGTGTTGTGGAATCCGTAATTATTGAAGCTTGTCATTAGTATAAAAAGTAAAATTGGTTATTAGTTTTTCTATGACCCAGCTTTCCTCGCCACTTTATCATCTTCATTGTGTTGCAAATTCCTGTAGTACTGTAGATTAAGTATATTTTAGACTTTCTGCCACGCAGAGTGACAGAACATGGATCAAGAGAAGAAAAATCAGTAGGTATCATATTTTATTTTCTCTCCGGTGTGTTTTGACTCATTGTCATTAGTTGTGGGTTTTTTTTCAGCAGCGCAATTCAAATGGAAGGCTTGTGACAGTCTTGTCAGGCAAACAGGATACCTATCTTACTGCTTCCTCTGCTTCCATCTTTCCCTGTGAAAATCACACTCTTGTTTCTTTAGAGTGCTGAGATATATTTTTCTAGTAGTCATAATTTAGACAAGCACCTGTTTCTTTCTAGTTGCAATTTAATCAGTGCGTACTATGGAGTCAAGAGGAAGAAAACAACACTACTTTGGAAGTTGACTTTTCTGCATGTTTTTGGATTCATGATATACTTTATGCTTAAGGTGTTCAGTGCAAGTAGTGCTTCACGTCATGGCCAGTGCCAGGATTTCTTTTCAGTGCTATCATCTAGAAGATTTTTTCCCAAAGAAGACTCAAAGCAGGAGAATTGTTGTCATTAGGACTGTCTTAAAAATGCCGACATGTTTAGTTTTCCTGACTTGTTCATTCTTCTACCTTCTCTTCAAAATTTCCTTTATAATCTAATGAGTATTTTCAAGTGGCTCATCATCCATGATTAAGACAGATTTCAGATTTTAAGAGTGCATCTCCATATAGGGGAGAAATGGTGGAGAAGAATTGTAGACAGCTGTACAATACCAGTATAGTTGATGAGCACTGCTTGTGGTGCCCTCTACCTTACAATAAAAGGAAAACTGAATTGCATTGGTTGTATTTCTCAGTTCAGATGAATTAAGATTTGTGCTTTTGTACTTGGGGAAGATCCCATCCCTGCAGCCTTGAGAGCTGTATTTGAACCTACTATTGAAACTTTATGAAGGCCTTGTAATCTAGTCTTTACGATGAAACACAGAAGTTCTTATTGTCTTCCTTTTGTAACTGATCAAAAAGGACAAATTTCTGTTTCTCATTTTTATGATGATGATTTTCTTCTCAAAAGTAGTTTATTCTTGTTTTTGTTCTTGTTTGGAACTATACAATTTATTGAACAGGAGAGAAAGAAGTCCTTTGGTCTCCCTCAACATTGATAGCCATCTCCATGTACATGGCAATGTAGGGCAGATCCTTGAAAAAAACTAATTATTGTACTTTCCAAGAGCTTTTTTTTATTTAACAGGACATTGTCACTGTCTTTGGGTACTTTTCCACTCACGATTGCTTCTGAAGTATTTTCTTAACCTTACCTCAGTGAGCTCTACTGTGTCAACAGTAGTTGGTTGATTTTTGGTGCAGAATTCATGCTGGATTTTGCAGTGGTTTTCATCTGACAGTGAAATGTGAAAGAGTAAAAGTGGATCTCCTAGGTGCACAGTCTGCAAAATTAGGATCAAAGAAACAGTTCATGTCCCTATTCCAGAGGTTCCTTAGGACTTTTGGGGAAATGGAGAACATCGCTTGTCTCTATCCAAAAGCCTTTTGAACTGTTTATTCTGGATTCATGGGAGATCAGGAGAGGCTAGAAGCCATCCAGTGAACCAAATAGCCAGTTTTGCTAAGTTGGTACAGACATCCATCCTGCAGGAAGTTGTTGTTGAAGCAGTGCTTCAGCTGACTGCTGAGAGTGCTAATTCTAGTTGCTTAGGCATGTGGAATCTGATAGCTGTGAGACTGCGTTACTACAGTACTGGAACAGCCTTCTATGGTAACATTAAGCACTAGTTACAAAGCTATTCCCTGCGCCACAGATCACCAGCAGTGGAATTGGTGCTGGATGCCTGTATGTGTTGTGGAGATGCTGTAATGGAGTGGTATGGCTCCTGACAAACTCTTCAGGAAACATTTGTGTTTGCTGTAAAGAGCTGATTTAGGAAGAGCTGCTCATGAAGGTATGGGAGAGGGTTCTCTTGTTTGGCACAGGTATCAAGAGTTCAGAAGCAGAATCTTCCTTCAGTGAGTCCGCATAACGTATCACATAGTGGAAGCCTTCTATTGAGGAGTCTTTTGAAGAGGAGCAAAGAGGTTTTCAAGGGGACAAAGAAGTGACCTGCTTTTGAGGGAAACAACTAATTGCCTAATATTCTTGGCCACAGGCGGGGTGATGTTGAGGTCCTAAGGGGTTCTTGGGAGAAGGGCAGTTTCCTATGCTGTGATTGATAGGTTTGGTCCTGCATCTTGGACCACCTGTTTTGATGAAGGATTTGCACCTGCCGTGGGCTATGATCTGCCAATGGCTGACAGATGAATTTTCTTAGCTGTACTTGCTTATCAGTAAGTCTAAGATTTGCTTTGCTTTAGAGTTAAAAGAGTTATCAGACCAGCAATGCAATGAGATCATAATGCAGAGTGTTTCTGGGTGGTTTGTAGAGCTAGGATAGGGTGGCTTGGTACAACAAAATTCTGTTAAAAGTCCTGGCAGAATCTATTCTGAAGGAGTTTTTACTTTCATCACAAGACTTTCTGGCTATCTCTCTTTCAAAGGCATAACCTTGAAACATTAGAAACCTCTTCAGTCTGCTTCTGTGCATTCAGTGTGGCCTGCATTTTCCTCATGAATTGGACTGCAGTATTTTCTTTGTTGAACTATACATTGGGAATGTTCATCTGTATTGTCAAAGCTCATTTGCGGTACTAGGAGCACCTCAGCAGCACCTAGTAATGAATTGAGACAGTGTTTGTGCACGTGCACAGTAGAAAGCTGAGGAAGTTTTTTTAAGGGATATATGTTCATATAAAGTCTGGATTGTGTTTTATGGTATGGTGGTTAATCTCAAATTAACTCCTTGCTGTACAGAAATTTCTTCCATATTGTGTACTACTGCTTTCCGTTTTCACTGCTTTTGGGCAGTCATGTTTTTTGAGCTTCTCATCTGGGATCATGAAGCCATGTAGTCAATCCAGAAGAATATATGACTGCTTGGGTATGGTATGGGAAACTAGCCGATTAAACTGAATCTTGTCCTAATTTTCCAGTTTTCAACAATTTTCTGCCAGTTTCAGAGATGTCCTCACAACAAGAAGAGTGTAATGCACAAGCTGAAATCACTGATGTGTGCAAAGACATCTGATGTGTTGCTTGTAAGACAGAAACCACATGCTGTATAATGCAGATCTCTTCTGCCTCTGGAGGTCTGATGCTTGTTCTTTTGAGGTGGTTCCCTGAAATATGAGAAAAGCACAGCAGTAAAAACACTTCTCAGTGACTCTGTTATAATTGTGATCTTTGAAGACATGTAGTGAATGAAATGGCCACAGTCAGCTGGAGCTGAAATCTCAGCAGAAGAGAGCTTACGTTACCAATACTGTTTTTCCTAATTAATTTCTCATTTGAATATGTTGATATGTTTTTGTTTCCTCATTCGTATAGCCGTCTTTGTATTTGCATGTTCAAGAATGGATCTTACATCCTATATAATGCTATATACTATGATCTGTTGTGGAAAATTACACAACCTTGTGAATATACTGAAATCTGAAATGCAAACTAGGCTGTTGTTAGATGACAGTCTACAAACAGCTGTAGTGGTTGGAAATGTTGCCAGCCTTTCTGCTTGAAATTAGTACCTTCAAGGCTGAGCATATAAATGTTCCTCATCCACTTCAGTGCAAAGTCATGTGGCTTAGTTTTAAGCTGCTTGTAGCATCTGTTTGAATTAGAATTTACTTTTTTGCTGAAGGGGAAGAGAACACCCAAAAGATGTTCATGCCATCTCAGCTGTCAGGACCATAATGAACATCCATATATTTTTAGACAGCATGCTGTTTCTTTAAAAGCTATGTAACAGTGGTTCCAGGTACACAAGTTTTTTTGGGGGTTTTTTTTTTTTTTTTCAGTGCAACAATTACCAGATTTGCTCTGGTAGAAAGAATAGGCAGAAGATGTGTTAAAAGACTATCCATAAGAATGACATAAAGAACTATGAAGGCATGTTCTTATGGTGTATGAAAATGAGGACATACCTGCATTGTGCAGTCTTCAAATTACTAGCTGTGTACATATTGCCTTTAAAGCAGCAATATTTCTGTTCTAGTAGGATAGCAAAGCGTAGTTCAGTTTACCTGAGATGGTTTAATATCTGTAAGGCAGAGAAGATGGATTTGAAGCTGAGAACAGAGCACTATGACTTGGATTTAAAGCTGAGAACAGAGCACTATGACTTGAATTATGTTGCTAATGAACTGCAAGCAGACTAATTAAGTCAACACAACGGATATTTTTAAACTCTGCAGAGCACAGCAATAAGCAGTTTTTTTGTGAAGCAAAAAGTGCAGTCCAATTCCGCTGTTGAGAGTTCCAAGTTGCATATTTGTCTGTGAGTCAGAAACGGTTGGTTTAGTTGGTTATTGCTGTAACTACACGTTTATTGGCTGTCTGCAGAAGATTCTGCCCAACAGACGTGATCATGTGAGTACAGGAGAAAAATCTACCTCTTTCAACTTTGGTAAAACTGGCTTTAGATCACTGGTAAGAGGTGTGAGCAGAAGATTGCAGTCTCCCAGCTTATGCATTCTGGCCTGTCCTCCCAAAGTCAATGAATGGAAATGTTAGCTTTCCTGCCATTATTACGATTTTTTATTTCTTTTTCTTTTTTAAAAAAAGATGAGGAGTAAGGAACGTTCTCGGACCTGCCCCAAAAAAGTGATCATGCTCTCTTCTTCCACTCCACCTTCCTCTCCACCGTATCCCAGACTGCAGGTGATTCCCTCTGCATGCTCTGTCCCTCTCTCTTCATTACTGCTTGTACAAGTGACTAAATCAATTACCAGAGATCCCATTTATAAATACATTTCCAATTTTCCTTTTCTCGTATGTAGATAAGGCTTCATCAAACTCTTATATTTGACACACTTTATAGTGTTATCTCACTATTATCTGATGCACTGGAGATTCTGAGATTTCACTGTAGGGTAATTGGTAATCACAGTAGCCTTCTTCAGTTTTGACTTGAAGCAAAGTACAAGTGAAATTGAAGGGTCAAGTCTACCCTTAAAGTGTATACATGCTGCTTAGAAATTCAACGGATTGCTTCTGTCTTAGCAAAAATTCCTTTTTTCTACACAGAAGTTAAATCTTTTTGGAGTAATTCAGAGATGGAGACTGCAAGTTTTCTCCATCTCTGCTTTTTGTTTATACAAGTGTGAGTGAGAATTTCCTCTTTTATCCATGAAAGTCTTTTAAGTTTACTTGTATGAAGTGCTTTTTTGAACTGTTGTGCATATGCCTGATGTGATCCTTCTGTTTCCCCCACATTCAGTCCTTTGTCTCAAGAAGACTTTGCATTCTGTCTGTCTTAGTCTGGATTCAGTGTAAGCCTTATTCTGCGCACAGCATATACATGTGCAGCCGTATATACATGTGTGTACACGTGTATTTGTCTTTGTAGTTAAATATTACCTGAAATCTTTAAATGCCTGTTTGTTTGTTGTACACAGTCATCCTGCTTCTTTCAGTTGTATCTATTTTTGTTTCATTTTCCTACTGCAGTAATAAATCCCACTCCTTCCTCAACCTTGAACTAATCTTTAGGTGATAAAAAGGCAGCTGCAGTTCCCAAGACATCCCATACATTCAATAGACATTACACAAGTAAATTTCTCCGAAGATTGATAATGTTTCTTTTCTGTTTGCCTATCAACCCCATAAACACACGTCACCTTTAAGGAAAGTAGAGAAGGGTCATTTCTTTCTGACCCATATGTACTCTGCCACCTCTCCTGTATCAGACTGTGCACCCACAAGATGAATCAGGGCTGCTTGTTGATCTGATTTAAAACTGTCTTAACAAAAAAAAGTAATTATTTTTTTGGCACCCTGTGGACAGTGTGGTGCAAGGAAGGGTTCAGGGGTGCACGTCTGGGTAGAATGGGCAAAATCCACAGCTAAGCTGGATTGACTGTAATGGGGAATTGTATTATTAGATATTGTGGTAGCTAGCAGTCTTCCTCTTGTCAAAGTCTTTTTAAGATTTTATGAGAAAACAACAGTTTTTCCCAAAGTTTGCAGATAGAAAAGTGAAGGCAGTGGTAAAATTTACCTTTCAACCTATTAGAGGGCAATCATTTTCCATATGAAAAAAGGAGCTTTCAGTAACTGAGGACCCTTTAGCTGTCTCCCCTCCCTCTCTTCTCCAAGTGTTTTGTTTGTCCTGTCTTTCACTTGCCTAGTTCAGTCATGAGAATTTACTGCTGCTGGGGTCCAAATATGTTTTCACTATTTTCTGTGTTGTGTCCCATAGGAAAATTGTGTGCCTCTTCAATATAAAAAAAAAAAAAAAAAAAAAAAAAAAAACGCTTCCTCCTTTTAATTCTGAGGAATATATGCATCCTGTGCTACAGAGCTAATCCAGTACAGCCAGTTGATGCCTTTGCCTTTGGAGAGATTTTTTTTCCCCTTTATTATTTCTGTGAAGTTGCCTTGGTCCAAGGCCTCATGACAAGTCAGGTGGATCTTTGTCCTTCTTACTCTGATGTCTTTTAAAAACTCTCTCTCCCTGCACTGCTAATGGAGTCTTTCTGCCACTTCTTTTAATCTTTTATTTACTTCTTTTGAGCTAACATCACAATATGAGTTGTACTGAGTATCTACTATCTTTATTGCACTAACTTTGGTTAAATGAGTTAATATGAATATATAGAGACTTAAATCTTCCCTATGGGAGCCAAATTATTTTTGTCAGTTTTAGAATATTCTTGTTAATAAAATACTTATCTTTCATTATGACTTCTTTGCTGCTCGCATTGTCAACAAAGTAAGACGAAGTCTATTTGACTAGAAAATTGGTCTGTGATTGTTATTAAGCTCATAATTTGTTGCCTGCAGAGATACAGGGATCCTGGTGCTGGATATCCTGGGGAGCAGAGTCCCAGACAGGAAAGGGTAAACAGCATGAACAAATGGCATGGATGCTGATGACACAATGCCGTATTGGATGTGTGCAATTCAGGAGGCAAATGTACCACGTAGTGAAACACACTTACCTAACGCTGCTGTTAACACGCTGCAACTGCAATTAAGAGTGACTATTTCTGTGTGATGTCCACATAAATGCATAACAAGCCTTCATCAGCAGTTTGCTATACGCTTTTATTTTGCCATTATTTGGCACTTGAGCTCTTCCCGTTCTTTTTCTCTTACACCTCTTTATTGGAGTATGCTATGGCTGTAGCAGAACAAGAAGAATTATGTTTTGTGCTAATTCATGCGAACACAGTTGCATTGTGTTCGCTGCTTGCTTTCTGGATGGTTAAACAACTGGCATTCCATCCTGCCTCCTACAGGCCAAAGATGAGGCATTATGTAGTATGGAGACTTTGAAGCCTTCTTATTAATGGAATATTCATCAGGCTGTCTAAGCGGTTCAGTATTATGCAGAAGCATGGGAGAAGGAGAGAGAAGCATTCAAAAGAACGAGCTGATTTGAATTCATATTGGCAAATAAATTGACATTCCAGTAAAGGCTTTTAATGAATGAAGTCATAAATGATAGCCAGCTATGAAACTGTTACAACTTCAAAAATGTGTTCTACACAAAAGGCACTTGTGGGCCGAATGTTTTCTGACAGGCAGTAGAAAATGAATGAGCATGTGTCTGCAGCGACACAGAACCCACAGCTTTATAATAGGCCCTAGTTTTAGTGAAAATGATCTAGTAGAGAGGAGTAGGTGGAACTGAAAGCAGCTGAAAATAGAGAATATTATTAATGCATTTGAATGGGAAATGCGTTTCTCACTGATTGGGTGTGAACCCAGTTTTCTGTTCCGCTTTGAAGAACAGTTAACAACATGTAGCAGCACTCTGGCTTTTTTTGACAGATCAAGCCTGAGATTTCTTCACACTCGCTTGTAAATCCTGCTCCATTTGCTTTTGAATGCTACAAACATATTAGCTGAAGGCTACCTGGTGTTGCAAGTAATACTCCTGCTCTGTACGGCAGGTCCCAAGCCAGGTCTTTTTTCCATGTTAGCAAGACTGGTACGAAGGACCAGAATAGCAGAGGTGTGAAATGTTGTGCCTGGGGTGTGCTGACATGGCAATTCAGACAAGTGCAGAAGCAGCATTGAAACTTCTGTGGTAGTTTGATTTTGCTATGCTTTGCATCCACCAGCCACTCTCGTTAACCATCCTCTCCTTGGTAAGTACAGCAATTTCTTTTTACATACTACCAGCATCTTTAAGGAGACTAATTCATTCTTTATGAAAACTGAAATCCATTACCCTAAAAATATGTTTCTGTGCAGAAGATCTGAGAAACACAAATACATGCACATTTAGATGTGTAAAGGAAATCCTTGACAAAAAAAGAACTGTAATGGAATGAGTTGGTGAATCGGTTCCTTTTGCATGATAAAGCCGCATCTTGATGTAGAGGGGTGGGAGTTCTTCGGATGGTAATGCCAGAGAGCAGCTCTGTGCTTGTTGCAGCAGTGGGAGCACTGTGAATGAGGTCTAATTCAGCTGTTTTTTTCTCCTGGCCTGGAAGGTCAACATTTAGCACTTCAATAGAATAGTAATCCAGTACAGAATAGAAATGAAAACAGTCTTCAGAGGGGAGCTTCTTTCACTGCTCTGCATGTGAATTTCATACCTTTTGTCTGGCTTTCCTTTTGGGACTTCTTATTTTTTTTTTTCCCTCTGGTTTATTTACTTCCTCCCTCCTTCCTTATCTCACAGAGATCTCCTCGTTTATTTTCTGATGACCAAGTGCCTGAGAATGTTGAACAAAGGGCATGTCAGCTGGCTGCCCTCCTGGAGCCCAGGCCTGCAGCGAGGCATCAGGTGACTACAGCCCCGCTGTCTATGAGCTGCTGTACCAGTGGGTCAGTGTGTGGGTACTGCTGGCATCTGGGGTCACACGGCTAGAAGAGCTCACCGAAATACAGGGACCGTTGCTGCGCACAGTCCTGTGGATAAAAACGAAAGAGCAAGTTTATTTTGTGTAGTGTTTTTTATCAGACTTGACAGCTTTTAATAGTCTCCCTGATGAATGCTTCCGTTATACAAAACACTGCAATCAATAGGGTAGAAAGCAGCCTCCGAGCTTCAGAGCACATGCTGAAAACGAGCTGGACTCCAGATCAAATCATCTCACAGTGCTCGTTTACCAGTCAGTTGCTCCCCAGTTTTACTTGCTGCTGGAAGCAAGAACATGTGCATTTTCCAAGCATAACTCCTGGCTCTGAAGTCCGACTTTTGTGCCCATGCTTCTGTATTATTATTTCCAACAACAGAGTTGGTGGCTTGTGCTGATTTTCTTTGATTCGGCTGTACACTTTTGGATTATTTTTTTGTGCTTAATTTTTTCTCCTGTTTGTCTTCTCTGGCATATGGGAGTCTGCCAACTTGAACTGTGGCTTCTTTTGTTCACATTCCTTGCCCCATTTCTGTTTTTGGTTATCTTCAGCAGCCTTTGGCAAACTGGAGAGTACTTTTAGAAAACGCTCTCAACTTAAGTGATTTTTTTTTTTTTGCAGAGTTTATGGTTTTGATTTAATTATGCAAAATTAAACTGTCTTCTTGAGCAGGAGTATAAACAGTCCTATAACTTTTACTGGTGGATATAACTTTTCCAAGCCATCTCAAAGGGAAACGTGTAACAAATAAGTCACTTTTAACTACTGTTCTTTGGGGATGCAGTCTTTGCTGATGTGATGATTAAAATCAGTGAAGCTGTTCTCCAGGAAGAGTGAACCTTTGGCTGGATTTCAGATAGGATGTCGCAGACATAGGAGAAACCATGTAAGTGTGGGTAAGGAGACTGCTTTGAACATACCAGTATCTATTTGTTAATGGGTGACACAACTGAAGATCTCAGGCATGATCTGAGGATAGCATGCTCGTATGTGTTTCATTACTGTGTAGAAATAATGGTACAGAAGTTAGCATCTGGACCCTGACACCTACTTCTACCTTCTTCCTGCTATCTCGCACTTTCAGGTTCTTTTTGAGGGTGGAAAAGATTAACAGTATTGCATTGCAGAGAAAAAAACCTTTATTCTGTACAGTGTAGAATTAAGGAGGAGAGAAAATATAGTGAAGATGGAGAACACAAAGTAGAGGAAAGGGAAAAGAGTGAGGCAGAGATGAAGATGGAAACGGATGTTGGAACACTGCAGACAATGATGGATTATAGTGTGGGATTTAGGGAAAGAAATCGAGAAAAAGTAGAGTACTAAGAGAAAGCTCAGGTAAAGTAATACATTTTCAGAAAAGCAATTTGATTAAATATTGATCTTAAGTACAGAAAATCACAGAATCACACATTCTGTGATCAGTGTTTTAATATACTATTATATTTCTGAAAACCCACCTAGTTTTTATTGTGCTCAATAGGTTTAATCAACAAGCTAGTTTTTTCTAAGTGGCTACAAATTACTGTTTTTGTGAGTCAAGTAGCTTCATGACATTTATTTTTGTCCTTTTTGTAATGCAAAACATAATTTTCTTTTAAAAGAAAGTCAAATATTTGAAATTTACATATTTTTTTCTTCCAGATAGTAATTTTAAGGAATACACAGTTCCTACCAGTACTGTCTGATACACCTCGCTACCTTGTTTTTTTTTTTTTCCCTATTTAAATTAAGTGTATTGGAAGGTGGGCATTAGTTAGCCATAAAGGTAATGAGAAGGGTATGTTGGGAGCCCATACCTTCTTCCTCCTGTGAAGGGCCCATTTCAGAAGGATGCATATTCACAGTTAGAGATTAGCTCTTTGCCACTTGATAAGCAAAAATAGCAGATTGCATTATATTGTTTAATTATTTTTACTGTGGTGTTTCAAATCTGCTGCATTAAATTTTATACTGGAAATGTGGTGCTGCTTGTTGGCAACAGTTACAAGTTAATTTCTCCCACTGGAAGGAGAGCAGGATCTTTTTTTTTTTTTTTTTTTTTTTGCATTTATAGTTAAAATGTAGAAGAGGTCTCATGTGGCCTGAAATAGAATCCTAGTGTCTTGAGCCAGTAATACGGAACAACAGGAGATACAGGAGCAACAGAGGAAATTGATCTGGGATCTGTGCCAGTGGCTTAGTTGGTTGGGTTACAGAAGGCTGGACATCTGTGGAAGAAGGTAACTGTTTCCAAATGGCCCTCAGTGACTTAAAACATAATAAAGGACAAATTAAGAATAACATACTCTGCCTCACTAGGGAGAAATTGAAGATGCACTGGACCTTTTTTTTTTTTTTTTTTTTTTAATTCAAGTTGCCCTACAAATGTCATTAAGAATTTTTATTTTTTTGTGGTGGGCAGAAGAGCCTGAATTTTTGTTTTTATTTTCACCTGGCTTTCCTTCATATCTATGTATGATTGTTGTGATTCTTATTTTATTTTTTAGCCTGAGACTGAACCGTCTCGCCGATTCTTTGTTGACCAGTGGGAGCTCTCCCTTAGCCTCCGTTCTTCTAATCGCCCTTCTTCACCTTCATCTGACTCTCTTCGACAGGTAGCATTGGCCTGAGCATTGCTAGGTGCACTCGGCTGTGTCACTTACTTCCCCTGGGCCCATTGGCCAAGGACAAAACACAAGAGATGGCTAGGCTTGCAACACTTCACCTGCAAAATGCAATCTCTGTGCATATTCATGCACAACTGAGAAATCAAGCAGCCTGTGGCATAGCTTGTTGTCAACCATAAAGCAGTTTGAAACTAAATATATGTAACTTTTGGTGCAAATGTAAAAAGCTTCTAGTTTATCTTGCTCTCAAATTGTCTGTTGTGGTTTTTTTTTTTTTTTTGAGCACTAATAGTCTAGCTTTGGAATAAAGCTTTCTTGTTTTGCTTGCTGCTTTTGTTGAGATTCTGGGCCAAACTACAGAATGGGCTTGTGTGTATATGCTTCATCTATAGTATGAAATACAGAATGCTTTGGCTTTCTAAAAAATCACTAGGAATTTCATCTAATTGCAGTTGCCATGCTGGAAAACAAAAGGAGTTTGATTTGACCTAAGCTAAAGTGGTTCTTTGCTCGCTGTTCAAAATGGTTCAGAACATTGCATATCTTGAAGACATTTGCCCAAGGAAAGTTAAAGTGCTCCATTTAAAATCCAATATTAGACCAGTTGCCATGTGTAGGTAGAGAAATCAGAACCACAGAACCTAAAATCAAGACTTGAGCAATTACATTTCCCACACAAAATAGTCTCGGATGTTGTGAGTTAAGATTAGAATAATCAGTTTTCGGGCAGATGTGCTGATAGAAATTTAAAGATCCTGAAACACCTGCAGTTAAGGTTGGGTGAGGAACCTGTATAGATGAAATGCAGTTCCATCTGAAAGAAAATGTCTGTTGAAAGCACCTGCTTCCCCTGGAAAAGCTTGAAAATTCTGAAAGACAAATTGTGTTGTTACTTGCATACGTAAATACTGCAAGTGCTCAATATTTTGGGCTGGATTTAGCAGACAAGTATGTAAAAGGAGTGAGTATAAATTCTTTGTGGGCAGAAATAAATTTCCTTTATTGTAGTGACAGCTCTTGAGGAATTAGGACTTCAGTGATAGCAACTACAATCTGATGGCCAAGCATGCCATTTTCAGACTCTTTTCCCCCTGAAATACCATTCTGTGATGGATTTCAGATTTTTGTGATGCTTCCTGCTTTTCTCATGTCTGAATATGTGAAGGTCTTAAACATTTCTAAAAGGCTGATAACCACACTTGTGAAACATACACTGAATTGTTACTTATGGGAAATAACTAGTTCTGGTATGGTAGTGGGAATTTTGAGAGAAGAATTCAGTCTTTTCCTTCAAGATACTTTTATCCTGGTGATTTTGCACTTGCCAGAAGGCAGTGTCTTTCTGCTCCTTCATTTCCTGAGGAGACTCCAGCTAGAAATATTCATAGTACTTCTTAGTTTGGAAAAGGAAAATTGCTTGGTGTGCTCTTTGCTGCTCTGCTGAGTCAAATTTGTGGTGTTTGCAGTGTGATTAAGCTAACACGGATGTAAGCACATAATTCTCTTAACCATGTAATTATTGATGATGGCTGAAATTATTTCCGTTGAAAATCACTTCCTCTGCTCCTGCAGTGGCTGAACATGGCTTGCAAACACTCATTTTTAGACCGTCTAGTGTAACTGCCAACATGCCTAAGTTTCTCAGAATACTGGAGGGATTTTAGCTATCCACAGTCATTGCATCAGTCAATACCCATGATGGAGAAAAGCCGAGTCATAAAGCCATGTTCAGTGTTGAGTGAATACATGTTCCAGATGTTTGCAGGTATGGCTTTAAAGTGTTGGATGAGATTCTTGCCATCATTTTCCATATAAACTTCTATGTTTTTTTAGCTTTGGAAAAATGATAGTTTTGAATGACTGTGAGTTCCTGAGTTAAGGATTTCTTCCTACTCTGTGAATGCACTTTAAATCAATTCTTTTCAGATGCTAATCATATAAATAAACTGTTGCAATCAGCATGTTACATTAGACTCTATGACATGTCTTCCAAAATGTCTTTGATTCTGATGCCAATTTTACCTGGAACCTCAAATCTTTGTCTATATTTGGTTTCATCTTTGAGAAGTGAATCTGTTCAGGTTTCCAGGTGCAAAGTACCCCATAAGCAAGAAAAAACTTGGCTTTCTTCATCATCATAGCATTTCTAGAGCACTTAGGGAATGCAAAATGCAAACCTTCTTTTTCATAGTTGCAGTTGATATTGGACTGGTCCAATGATTACTGATGGCACTAGTGTTGCTGTTACTACTTGTCACTCCATATTGTCCACTGTCTTGGCATGGTTTCACCTCTCTGCACCTTTTCACCACCTAACCTATTATCATTTTAGTCATTTTTATAATTTTATTTCTTTTTCTTTTCTCACTTCCCTTTTGTTTTACTCCATCCATCTGGTAGAAGTATATAAAGATGTACACAGGCGGAGTGAGCTCATTGGCTGAGCAGATAGCCAATCAGCTTCAAAGGAAAGAGCAACCCAAAACCCTTCTAGACAAGAAGGAACTGGTAAGATGATGTGCAGAAGATGATGTGTGTTTGTGATTAGACGTACTGTAGATCTGAAGTATTGTGAGTTGCTAGTACAGCTGGTGGATCCATAGTAGCTTTGTAAAAGACTTAACTTCCCTTTCTCCATCCACCCTCTCTCTTGTCCTCATTTTCCTTGCAAAATTGCTGAATCTAATCTCAGCAGTCAAGGATTAGCTGCAACCAGTTGACAAACTGGTGGTCGTATTTGTGAAGATGTATTTGTTCCACTGTGGCTACTTCAACATTGTTGTTTACTAGAGGAGTGAGGTTTTGGTCTAAGAATTGCAGTTTGAAGGGTCTCTTAATGATTTTGCCTTTCTATCGTATGCCTCCCTCAGTCATTTATTTCAAGGTCATTGTTAATAGCACTCGTGTCCACTTTTCCGTCCAGAGCCTAATTTACTCCTCACATACATAGGCATGACATCCTAGGACCTTCTTCACTGGACTTCAAGGTTAGTTTTTGGTTTCCTGGCTAAAACAGAATTGTGTCACAGCGCTGCAGCACCCATGTGTCAAAGAACAGCAGCATCCAGACGCTCCCATACCTGCAAAGATGAAGAGAAAATATGACCATGCGGTCTTGGTGAGAATGAACACGCACAAATTTAATCACGGCTATATCTGTCTAGGGCTCACTCAAAAAGGAGTTCCCCCAGAACCTGGGAGGCAGTGATGTCTGTTACTTCTGCCGCAAGCGAGTCTATGTGATGGAAAGGCTGAGTGCTGAAGGCAAGTTCTTCCACCGCAGTTGCTTCAAGTGTGAATACTGTGCCACCACTCTGCGGTTGTCATCTTACGCCTATGATATTGAAGATGGTAAGAGAAATTGCCTTTCTGTAAGAATTCTCTTAACTGTCCTGGAGGTTTGTCAAGTGATTTCACAGCTCGCTGTTTGCTTACAAATTATTTGGTGAGTTAAGAGACGGAGTAACTTCAGGTCCAGAGATATCCTCTCAAACTGTTAAAGCTCTGTGGGTTTCCTGTGGCTGGGTAATGCTGAGAGCTGTGAGGAGTTAATTAAGAATAGCTGCTGGAATGGAAAGAAACAAATAGTATTTGAGGGCTTTAAAATGGTTTGGCAGCTGTCTTTAAGGCTAGATCCTTTACTGTTCCTTCGGTTACATTTAAATGAGCAAACTCATTTTAGTTTTAAATGAGTTTAGTTTTAAATTTAGTTTGGCTTTATTTAAGAGAACGTAACGTGTTGGTGACAGACATAATCAGCTTTTACTTTTTAAGAGAACACAGCAATAGAGCTCTACATTTTAGATACAACAAAAGAAGAAGTTTATAATCAAGGGCTATGATAATTGATAATTACAGACTAAGTTATATTTTAGTGGGGAAAAATAGGACATGGAAGGTGAGTAGGTCAATGCTAAATATATGGAGAAATAATTAGTTACTGAAAGTTCAGTAATAATTTTTTCTTTCTGTGTCTGATAGACTGAGGAGCAAGAAATAAGATTACCAAATTAATAAATTTATTGATGACTCTTAACAGAGTCCAACATCCAAAGGATTAAGGGAAGCGTTAGGTATAACAGATCTGAGAAACCAGACAGTGTGGCAGCAGCTGAAACTTACGTTAGCACCCAGAAGATGAGCATGTTGAAAATTATAATTTCAAATTGCACGTCACTTCTGAAGAGTAACATCCTTCAAAGAGTGGCAGTGTTACATTTGTTGCTTGTTAGCCAAAAATTCACATTTTCTGAAGAAGTAGGGTGTCTTAGATAAAGCTTAATGTATATCAAGAAGTATAACTTCTACCTTCTTTCACAGCTGTCATTTATCTTTGCTCTGATATCAATAATAAAATATGTACAAAATTATGTAAAACTAGGGAGATATTAGATGGAGAGGCTTCTACACCAGGAATGATGATGTAGAAATAAAAATAACAGGAAAAAGTGCTACAAATGATATTTTTCCACATTGATTGAGTCAAAGATGAAGTAAAAATTGTAAGCTCTACGCTACAGAATGAAACTCCAGGATACTCTCTGCAGACTGAAAAGTTCTGAAATTGATAGACATCTGTGTAACTGGGTTGAATATTTTTGAAAATACTGACAGTGGCCATGGATACATCAGCTAGGCTTATGGGGCAAAAAGTACCAACATAATATTTCTATTGAAGATGAATTATATAGCGACCTTTAGTAATGGGCTTGGATCAAAAAGAATTGAGGAATCTCAGAACCATCAAACCAGGCACCCAGTAAGGAATAGAAAAGCCATTATTACTTGTTCAGAATGACAGCGGACTTGACTTGGAAGTTTAAAGGGGCCAGTGATAATTTTGAAGTCTGTGTATAAAATCAACAGCTTGGTCAATTATCAAAGCTGGGACAAGGCAGTTGTAGAGCACCGCTGTTATTTTGTGCACTCAGAAGTCATGGGGTACCTGATTAAATGTGCAGTAGCAAGCTGAGCCCTTCTGTCTGTTGTATGTGCTGAAGCAGTTTTTGCCACCAGACTTAGCGATTCTTTCTGCCAGCCAGCTTATGTACACAGTTATGGCCAGACAGCTCACAGTGAAACAAGCACAAAGCTTGGAGTCTCAGCACATCTGCAGCATTGATTCTGAACTGTTACACGGTTAACAGTTTCATATGTATATATACCAAATGTGACCACATAGAAATGTGTGTTATTGTCACTAATCATTGTGAAAATGTAGCTCATGTTTCATTCTGGATTTGTTTTGAAAGAGAAGGTAAAATACATTCATGTGGTTGCTATTCATCTAGCTCTTCCGACTGAGAGTGTCCTGTAGTGTTCTACAATCAGTGTCTGGTTCAAAGCCTGAGTATGTAGGAGTTTTGCTGTTCTATCTCTTGTCAGATGTTTCCCCCGAAACAATTTGAAAGACTCCACGTTAACAAATGTTTATTTAAGCAGGCAGTTCTCACCAGATAGTATTTGCCACCTTTCTATCATAAAACAAATCATTAGAATATATTGTGCTAGTACCAGCTCAGAGAAACTGTGGAAAGCAGCAAAAGTCAGACTATAGATTTGAAATGTGTTAGGGAGGTTGTAGGAACAGGATATTAGAAGGTATGCTGTGGGCAGTATACACTTAGCAGGATATGGTAGCAAAAGAGCATGGGAAGATAACAGTGCCATCAGTTTGCTCCTATTACTGTTATTTGCACTGGGGTATTGCTAGTGCTGCTTTGTCTTTAGGATAGTGTTCAGATGCTGGTGAAAACCCATCTAGACTTCTGGAGTGTTACTAAAACATCAGTGTCACAACAGGTCTTACTTGTGAAAATGACTCATTGCTCGATCGCCCTTTCTGCAAGTAACTACGATCTGTTTTCGGAGATGGTTCTCTGGGAGTTAATGCCCTCCTCTCCCTCTTTCCTCTGCTGCTTGTATTCATTCTTGCTTTTTCCAAAAGTGCTTCTGCCAGCTTTTCATGTGATGATTTCTTTGTTCCTCACACACTGCCGCATTGTTAGCATGTGATACCACACAAGCCTCACAGCTTTGCTTTGGTGTTTGATAGGATATTATGCTCAGTGGCTGTCAGGCACCCAATGAAAGGGAAGCTAGTTAGGCAGGGGAGAGAGGAGGGCTGGAGTTAAAACTTCAGATTGTGCTTGTCTCGGTGCATACTGATTAAACTAGAGGAAGGAGGGACAACAGAAAATAAGTTGCAGTGAGATGGACACTTGTATTGTGTTAAGGTGGTGTGTTCTCATTGTCGACCATCATTAATGTTCTGTCTGCAGGTAAATTCTACTGTAAGCCCCACTACTGTTACCGACTCTCCGGTTATGCTCAAAGGAAGAGGCCAGCAGTGTCAGGAAAGGTAACTCATTCTTTTCATCTAGCATGTTGATTCTTAACACTGAAAGAGTAAATATGCTTTTCTTTTTGTGAAGGTAGAAAAATTCAGAATGCATCAAATGGCATTGTAATGTCATAATGTCCTACAGTTCTATAAATTTTCATTAAAAGCTTGCAATTATCACTTCTCTTTTCATGGCTCTTATTATAAAATGATGTACTGATCCACTCAGAACAGTATTTTGATTTGTATTCTTGTTGTACTGAAATGCTTATTTAGTTTGTGTAGAGACCATATAACTTATGTTGCTGGTTTTGCTTTTCCTTAAGATTAAACAAATTATTTGCATTTCTTCTGAAACTTGAATTTCTAACTCGCTTGCATAGGCTATTAAGATGATGTACTGTCTCTTCTGCACTTTTGCTGTCAGTTAGTGTATGGAAAGAAAGGGTATCCTTTTCCCTATATTATTGTAATTGAAGCATTTGTGTTTTAAACATAGGCCCAAGACCTACTATGTAATACAGAAAGGTGTCTCTGCTTTTGTCTTTGTCTGTGGTAGTCTCTTTGCATTCAAGTTCTGTTAAGATTGAATGCTACAAACTGACCTTACCCCTCAGATGATGTTTTCCTCTGTGGTAGCGGTGGTGGTGATCTTTCTGCTTGCTTGTCAAGTTTTGTTAGTACAAGCTAGAGCTGTGCACCTTTTTGGAAGGGCTAGGGATCCATCTCAAAATTTGTGCCATGCTTCCAGCCAAAAGGAAAGACCAAAAGTGAAACATATTATGTATCCCAGATGAGCAGACTTCAGGGATCCTATTGCTTTGACCTTCTTGGATATCTAGCTTGTTTTTTGGGGTTTTAAGCCTATCGAGAAGGAACGCGTTTGGTTCAGACCTTGCCTTTATACAATAAATAAGGGGTATCTTAATTGCCAAAGGGATATCTTGCTAGTTCATTGTGTTCAGTACATACAACCTCATATGAAAAGAGTATTTTCTAAGTGCTTGCAATTTTAGTATGGATTTAATTCACTTCCTCACTCTTCCAGGACACCAAAGGACCTCTGCAGGACACTATGGCAAGTGATGGAAGTGGACGGGCAAATTCCATCTCCTCCTCAGCAGAGAGGGCCCCAGGTAGCTCCGCTTCCTTCTTTAGCAGGGTGGTGCAGTACTCTCTCGGCTTCTTTGACAGAGTTAGGGTGGCAAGCCAGCGACTGCAAAGCACAGTTTCCTGCATTGGGCACCAGGTAGCCCAGAACCCTTTGGACTCCTTTTTCATGTGTCAGCTGATGGCTTTTGGGGTTCCCTTTCTCTATGTCCAGTCAGAAGTTCTCGTGCAGATCTTAGGGGAGTTCTGTGGCCAGTCTGCTGACCGTTAAGAATTAACGTGACCCAACTTTATAAGCTGTACAACTCGTGTGAATTGGGGTGCTGTGTGAATTTTGTGTGTTATGTGAAGTTCTCAATATGTTATTTTGCATTGTGGCTTTGGGGGCCTAGATATTCTCATTTCTTTAAAGGATACTGTCTGAAATAGTTCCAGGAAAACACAGATCCTCAGTTAAGGGTCTCCTCTGAGTGGACCCAGATAAAGAGGCTTTGTCTGTACTGTATGTACTTCAATGTTGACTCAAGTTACAAGTTCTGATACACTGGAATAATTCTAAAATTGGATTTCTGTGTTTGCCTGAAATTTGGGAGTGGTTTCTCATTCTCCCAAATTTCTGTTCACTAATCTGGTACTTGAATGGGAAGATCCCATTATCTCTGGATTGTGTCTCCTTTGGAATTCTGGGTGTCTGTGACAGCTAATGGGATGGGATTCCTTAATCTTCTTGAATTTCGTGGTGCTGACAGGTCATGGTGCTTTTCCCCTACTGCCAGATTCTGTGCTGCTCCTGGCCATGGCTTTGGGAACGAGGTAGTGAATGTGTGTGTCTTACTGTGAAGTATTTTTGCCTATTAAGTTAAAATTCTAATTCCTTCTAACATGGGAGAAGTGACTCTGCTACAAACGCTCGTTTGCCCAGCCCCTACATGCTCACTTGGTGATGTCAGGAAGAGATTTAGTTTTAATATTGGTTCTAGAACGCTATGAAAACAGGAAATTAGGTGCTTTTAGAGGGAGAACATACTTAGAGGAAAAATTTAGAAATGAATGTCTTCACAGTGCTAATTGAGAAGAAACATTAAAAACATACAGGCAGATAAAAATCAGGCTTATATGTGACATAATATTCTTACAAGCATTTCTAAGATGGTAACTGAACACAGAAAGTCATTCTTACTGTGTGTTGTTGACTCTTTAAGTGTAGTTACACTCGCTGTTTTGTCTGTTAATGGCGTGGAATTTCCATATGGCAGAATGAAGGAGAGAAAAAATGTAATGAAAAATGACAGGTCCAGAATGCCAATGGCAGGTGGGATAATGACAGCATTTTTTTGTACTGTAGGCTAGGTTTAAAATTGCTTACTCTAAAGGTGAAGAGTTTTTGGTTTTACGATTTTTTTAATATAGAGCATATTTTTTAACATGTGTGAAAAAGATATTTCTTGGAGCTGTTAATTCACAGACTATATTATAGGAAAAGTGACTTGTGGGTTGAAGCTATTGGTGATGAGAAGTGGAAGAAAGAGAGTTTAGCTGTGTATATCAGTTAGTTTTTCAGTACTGTTGCTGTCGGTCTCCTTTCCTTGATTTAGTCCTTCCAACAGATCAAATTTAATTATTTGCATTTCTAGATGAGCCTTCAGCAGACAGCATCTATGTGATCAGTAAGTAGGACAAATGTTAGGCCAGGTATTTCCATCTCTCCTTATGTACTGGTGACATAGTTGGCACCTGCGATGGCACAGTTACAAGAGCTGTAATATTTCTAGAGAAGAAAAGTAGAACAGACACCATTTTATCAAACAGCAAGACTTGAAATCTAGGTCTCCAGTTTGCTGTGCCTAACTGTAGCATTGTTTTTAAATATTTTGGAGCTTTAAAGCTTTGGCTCTTGTACTCTGCAAAGTACATCATTAGGGCATATTCAGCTGGATGAAGCTAGTTCATCTTTAAGGCAGTGTAACATGTTGTTGTGTGTGCATGACTGAAACACCTTTAACGGTTGAAGAGTTACCTTCTGGTTCTGTTGTCTCCCCTTTTCTGCTAGAAAATATTATTCATAGCTGAGATCTCATTTTCTTTATGAAGCAAGTTGTAAGTATATTTTAAAACTACTGGATTAACAAGGGTTAAGAAGCAGGAGGGGAGGCTAAATGCCATATATTTTAAAAGCAAGCTGCAGTGTCATTAAGGCAGGCCAGTTCTCCATTAGTCAGTTTAACGGTCATGTGCTGTAGTACCTCTCTTTAGCTCCAGTTTTTGCACAGTAGATCAGGAAACTTGCATTGTGTTTACCATTTTGTATGGCCTGAAAAAAAAACATACAAAAAACCCCACAAAACCTCAGCTTTTGAATTGCAAAACTTCATGATACAGTGGAAGAATAGGATACTATTTCTGAATAATCAAAGGGAGTCTCTAAGATTGCATCTTTATTTAACTACTGACTTTGAACTATGTGCATATATGCTTTCTTGTAATTTATTAACTTCTCTAGGTGAGAAACTATAGGCATTCTGCTTTCACTGAAATATACAAGAATACCTTAAGCAAAAAGCTCTCTGATCTGGAGATAGTTTCCCACGCTCCAACTTTACCCGTTCAGTAGACTTACCATGAACTGGTTGTATATCTGAAAACTCTTTGGCCTCTTTTAAGGCAAGAACCAGCGGCTGAGGTTGGGCAGTACTGATTTCATACCTTGAGATCTGAGTCAGTCTTACTAGTGAGGCAGATGTTGATGAGGAGTGTAATTTGCCTCTGAAACGATTAAGTGAAATAAGAGTGTGAAATGCGTAGGTTTAATTTGTGATGGAGTTCTCAAGATAGCTTAGAATGCAAAAGGAAGGTGTAGAGCAGAAACATCAGTTAAGCAGTGCACAAGACAAAAGCCCCCTGGTTTTAAGTTTTGTACCCTCTGAGCTAAATTCAGTCCTGAATTAGCTCGTTCAGTGACCATTACGACAAGTTGTGGCAGGCCTGCTTCTTAGTTGCCACAGAATCCCAAACAAATGTAAATTTTCCAGGTTTTCCCCCTACATTCAGTACCTCCTTTACCACCAAATCTGTGCTCTTCTTTTTGTAGCCAGATTAATAATTAAAATCTGCTTGAACTCAAAATGATGTTCAGCAGCTTTGGTCAGCTTAGGTACAGTTGGTCCCAACAAGCACTTTCTTGTGATGCCGTACTAACCTGACAGGCATGCATTAACTTTGCTAAAGATGTCAGTCCCTCACTGGCTGTCTGTCCCTTGTATTGCAGTGACTGCAGTTATAGGGTACAACTTGTGAGAAGCAAGTTGAGGTTTTTAGCAGTCTTCTAGAAACATCGTTCTTACAAAGGTTTGCCTGGTTTGCCAGGGAGCCCACGTGACATCTTATGTAGTGTCACAGGGATGTTTTCAGGGAGTTAAGTTCTAACTGGCTCCTGCAGTACTGATCAGCCCCTTTCGATGGGGAAGTGGCAACAAGCTTTTGAGGTGGTTGATGCCATTCTCTCCTGGGAAGGGAAGCTGGGGAAAGCTGGTACTTTGCTTTTGGTTCTGCTCAACTGTGGCATGCTTGTCTTAGATTCTGTAATTCTTCTCTGTACTCTGTCTGCCTCTTTCTATCTTCTGCGTTTGCCTTTGTGCCAAAATTGCTGCTGTTACCATGGGGAAAAAAACACTTTGCTCCTCAACTGTCTCTCCCTTTCATAATCTGTAACCACTGTGTCTTGGATTTTTTTGAATATTATTTACAGTACTTTATATGATTTGAATGTGCTTTTAATGTAAATGCTTTTTTTTTCTGTTTGTTCTAAAGGTCTGTAAGAACACATTTTCAAACTTTCAGCTCTTTCTTGACAGGTGGACTTGGAACAGTCTTTGCTTTATCATAATGCTCTTTGGGGCAGCTTTAGGTAGTGATGTTTTGTTGTGTTTCCTATTCCAGGCTTGTGTTCTCACAGCAGTACATTTCTGACCCTATCAGCAGTAGGAATTTCATAAAGAAAAGACCTGCTAGGGAAACTCTTGCTTCAAAAACTCTCAGCAATAAAATGCAAGTCATGAGATCTTTGCAATAGTTACTTGAGCTGCAAAAAATGTAAGAAACTCACTATAAGTAGTATGCAAACCTGAAAATTTCAATTCAAAGTAGAGGTGTTAGGTCTCCTGCTTTACAGTCGCAAAAGTATATCCTATATATGAGATGGGTGCAATATGAAAGGTTAGAAATCCTCTTATGGGATGTGCCTTAAACATTTTCAGGGAGCAATGTTATGAGCAAACCATTTATGGTAGACTCTTAAACATGTAATGTGTTGCATTTAATAAGCAAAAGTGGACACTTAAATGAGAGGGCTCTTTTGGTGATCAGGTAATCTAGAAAGTGGTGGTTGCTTCCTCTGAATGCTATGCCCTTTCAAGTAAATTATTTGAGCCCCATTTTCAAAAGGATCGTGGCTGTCCATTGAGTTTACACAAATCTTTATGAATGCATACAGTATTATTTGCACATATTTCTATGCCTAAGGAAGTACAAATCATTTTTGTATGCATTTCTGTATATAAACTGTCTTCTTGTTCATTGATGTTGTCCCTTTAACAGTTCTATATACATTGAATGTGCCTTCTGAAAATATTTCATCTCAAAGCAAAACGGTTTACTTGTGCGTATGAACATATCTTCACGAAGGCTTCCACTCGGCCACTCCTTTTTGTTATTATTCAGATTTGTTTTTCATACTTGTTTTAATTTGATGTGTCATAAACACTGCATTACCACCAATACAGTAAGCTAACTCTGTGGCATACTGCTCAGTTTGTGGAGTTTTTGTGGAGCCTTCATTTGAAACCGCTAACCTGCATTTACAGACACATCCATACACCTTCCCCCTCCTCCTCTGCTCCACAAAATAATAAAATAATTTTAAAAAATCATGTTTCAAGATGCACCACCAAACTGAGACGAAAGGTAGTTCCTCTTCTACCGTGCCTTGAAGTTTTCTGTTTGGAGGCACGGTGGAGTTGTGTTCTGCAGG